TGAAAGAAATTTGCAATTGAAATTATATTGAGAGATGATTTCGCCATGATATATACACATATATTCTCAAGTAAATCGAAGTAATAGATGTTTCAATTAAGGGGGGAAACGAGTGTAACGGCTAAAAAAAAAGCTATTTTTAAAGACTTTCTTTCTGGTAAATAATTGTTTCTTTTTCAAATCGCGTTATTAACATCACAAGGTACATAATTTGAAATACCTTTTGTGAAATTTTCGTTAAAAAATATTAATATTTATAACTACAATAGCCAATAGTGTGAGCCGCCTTAAGGAAAAACGGGCGTACGCGTAGCGGAGCAACGAAAGCTCTGAAACAAAAAAAAAACAAGTATTTTCTTAAAATATAAGACAATAGCTTCAGTTGCATGTATGGAATTTTCGAATGAATAATTTGTTTTTTGTAATGTTAAAAAACAGATTAGGTCAATATTTCACTGATTTTAAAACTTTTTTTCAAAAGTCCGCCATTTTGTAACAAATTTTTTTTTTTTTGAATCCATATGTGCAACTGAAGCTCTGGTCTTATTATGTACTTTGTGATGTTAATAACGCGATTTGAAAAAAAAACAAACAATTATTTACCAGAAAAAAAATTCTTAAAAATAGTCTTTTCTTTAGCCGTTACACTGGTTTCTCCTCTTAAAGCTTTTCAACAATTAAATTGAATACCATCACGTAACAGATTTTTAATAAATTATAATTTATTTTTGATTGCCAAGACATAAAGTTTTAATTACAAAATAATAATTAAATTCAAGTTTATACTTGCAACTCTTTTTTATGAAAAATTTCATTAGAAGAAAGTTAAAAAAATTATAAAAGAACTGTATTGTTGATATAAGAAAAATTAATTTAAGATAATAATATTAATTGAGAATTGCTTAATAAACATTAAAGTAAGAGAGAGAATAATCTTATGTAATATTATTTTATCGCACAATTTGCGTTATTTTGGTTTTGTTTTAGGCACTAAATGGCATGCGCGACGAAAGATATTAACACCTGCTTTCCATTTCAAGATATTGAATCAATTTGCTGATATCTTGATCAACGAGGGCGATCGTATGACAAAATCTTTGAAAGATGTCGGAGGGACAGTTGTAAAAGATTTAGTACCATTCGTTAGTGAACATACGCTAAACGCCATATGCGGTAAAGTTTCTGTAAAGTTTTTATTGTTTTATATTATGTACAGGGATTTCATTCTAAATGATATCATAGTTTAAGATAAGAAAATAATTTGTTCCCATAGAAAGTATCGATGCTGCAGAAAAGATAGATAATATGTGATTTTTTATACTCAAAGCTACTTATGAAATATTCAGTTGTAATTATTTTTGACTGTATATCCGGTCTTATATAATACATGCACTTGCAGAAACTGCAATGGGCATCTCTTTGCAAAAACTCAACGAGTTCCAACAACAATATCGGAATGCGGCTCACGACATAATCGAACTGATATTTTATAGGTAAATATATTTACAATTCTTTAAGTTTTGATTGTGTGTAATATATATTTTCTATATATATTTTGAATAACAAATTAAATATTGAATAATCATGTAAAGGTGAACAATTAGTTTGAGACGTCGATTTGTTTTAAGCCGCGATTAGGGATCAAAATCTATTGTACGTGCTTCGTTAAATGTTTTATTTCAAAATGAAAATTGTTTCAATCTTTAAAATATTGAAAATATTGTAAATATTAGAATATTGAAATATTAAGTAAAATGAATTGTGCAATAAAATCTGAAGAGAAATCATATTTGATCAAAAAATCTATAGTTAAAACAAATATAATATTTTTAGAAGATTCTAAACATCTTTTTTGTAATATACATAATTCTAAATTAATTTTTTTATCTATATTCTCTACAATTAATAAGATTACTTAAGGTAGTTGTTTCGTAAATCGCAATTAACAAGAAAAATTTGAAAATTTACCTTTACGTTAATAAATGTGGCATTTACACGTTTATACAATTTAAAAGCAATCGACCGTTCTGAACGCAAGATAATCGCTATCAAAAATTGCACTTTTTACATGTATTGCATACACAAAGCGTACGAAAATCTCGTATTTTGAATTTTAATCATTAGAACGAACAACAAGAAAGTGATGAAAAACGAATATATAGTAGAAGGACACTTTAGGAATATTAGTAAAAAAAAAAAAA